GTTAATATGAAAATTAAACAACTCATGAATGAGACGTTGATCACTCAAGTTATTGAATAATTAAAGTTGTAAATATAAACAATTTTATTCTATTGCATTACGTGGTTTTGTGAAGATTGTTAAGTTACACATTTTTTTGAAATCATGAATCGATCAATGTTAGACCACCATTAGATCACCTGGAATCACTGAAAGACGACCGTTTCTTTCTGGTATGGATGGGACTCATCAATAGCCTGCCTACAGAGTGTCTGAAAATTTAAAGTTCATTCTCTGCTAGTCTCACTCATAGTTGCTCTTCTTTGACTAGACTAGTCAAAATCTAGCAGCACACAACAGATATCTTGAACTGTTTCAGCTGACGTTCATTCTCTTCTCTATGAGATTTTAGTTTAATTTTTATTTTTACTAAGGTAATTTTTACAATTCATCCAAATAAATTATTGTATAGCTTGAAATCTGTCCGTGTGGTTTTAGGACTTTAAAAAATAAATTGCTATTCGGTCCTATCCAATCGAAACCAGTGACCTTTAAACTTTAAATTATTAATACCACTAAGTGATACAGAGAGAGAGAGAAAATCTAGCTTATCTTGATAACTTCCTGAGAGGTATGAGTAAACAGTCGTCACAAATGTGAGTGAATCAAATAAATAACCTCAAAAAATTATTTACGCTATCAAATAAATTGATTATTTAACTACAATTTTCAAAGATTACTAACAAAGGCAATGATTAAAATCCGTTGAATTGTTCGCTAAAATTTCTAAAGATTGTAATCAGTATTAATCGATATTAAGGCGGGTTGGGGTACAAAAATGTGCCTTATTATAACTTGTCAAAGATAGGTGCATAGGTGATAAATGGGCTTTTTAGTGATTATGATTGATAAACTCACTTATTCCATCCGTACACAATCCTGCTCTCGTTTATTCGGGCTTTGGATAAGCAATAATTCTAGGAGGACTCCAGGTCGAGTATAAAAATAAATGTTTTATTGGAAAAATATGTTTTATGCAGCGTAATCTCAATATGCATTACGGGGTTGTGAAGATTGTTAAGTTACACACATTTTTGAAACCATGAATCGATCAATGTTAGAAACCTGGAGGCACTGGATGGTCACTTCGTCCTGGTATGGGACTCATCAGTGACAGTGCGCATCCACGACTCCTGAACCCCGCAGGATTCGAACCCGGAACCTTCGGTATTATGAGCGAACGCCTAACCTCTGGACCACCGAGCCTAAAGTTATTAATACTCATTAAGATACTTGAAAGTTCTGAATGCCACTTTCAATGATTCCGTTGTCACTGGTGTAAATTGTTATACAGAAGTATCATATTAATAAAGTGTGAATGAGATGTTGAATCGTTCTCGATATATTTTTCTGGAAGTTGATCCACTCTTCATCAATTGATGATGTTAATAAAGAAAAAAATACAGTTAGTCAGATGATCGCCGAAAAAAAACAAACGAACCTGTTCGATTTTATTGATCAAGATTTTTATAAAACACCAAACGAAATAGTTATATATATATAGATATTCAATGTTGTTTTTCATCATTATCATCTATCTGACAAGTTTACATAAACTCAATACTATCTCAATGTGAATTTTAGTCTCTCCTAGAGAGATGACGATGACAGATCACGCAAAATAACAAATTCAGAAAAGATTTTCAAAGTAACCATTTTGAATGAAAACATTTCAAAGTAGATGCGTAAAACATAACACCACTCACTGTAGGACGATTGTATAATATTAGGAAAGTGTTAATTTTTAATATTTCTCTCTCTCTCTCTCTCTCTCTCTCTATATATATATATATATATATATATATATATATATGTATATATATATGTATATATATATATATATATATATATATATATATATATATATATATGTATGTTCGTCGAGTGGATAAACTTTGAGTATGAAAATACTATATGCCTTTCATTTTATTTCCCTGTTGCATAGATAAGTTACTAGCTTCACATTGACTATGGTACTGTGGTGCGAGCTACTTATAAGTAGTATATGACGTGAGTGAAAACGTAATGTCTGGCAGCAGAAGATGGGGGAAGATCAAGAAAGAAAGAGTTAGAAAACAATGGGATTTGTATGAAACGCATGAATAGTGACAATGTATTGATGTTGTGCAACAGGAGCAGTCCAGTTCGATATGATGGACTGATATTTTGCAAATTAACGATTTACGATATGGTTTTCCGATTTTACTGAGTAACTCTGTAATTTTCACTACAGTACCACTGATTGAAAATACCTCAAAATATGTGTAAATTTCATCAAGATATATTCATGAATATTTTAACTTGTGTTCTGATTATTGCCAGTCTTGAAAATGTTTAACTTGAATAATGGATTGTGTTATTTTCAGGGATTGGCATATTTCACAAATGATATTCATGGTGACAGATATCGGCTGAAAAATTTAGAAGCGCCAGAAAGTTGTTGCATTCTAGTATGGTACTTTTTAGTTTACACTCACAATCCTCCTATGCATCAAACCAAATATTTTCAGATCTCGTGTAGATCATCTAATAAACAGAGTTAGGTTCAGTTTTCACAAATAAACCTTTATTTGTTTGTGTGGAATACTCAGAACTGTGTTGCAGTTGACATACTAATGACGGTGAACATTAAGAATTCCCTGAGGTCAAGTAAGAAGTGAAGTCAATAGATCAACAGATCAAACTAAGCAGACTGCCTAAATATTAACAACGATTGCGTATAACTTTTGATTTTCATGCTTTCCACTATCTTCCAATCAAATCAAACGATTTATGTATGAACATTAAACTAGGAGAGCTAGAGATGATCAAAATCATATGCACTATTTCTATACATCAAATGTGTTGACAATAATCTATAAATAAGAATTATATGTCTATCATTATTAAACTAATTTTTCAATCATATTCTTAGCGTAACTTGAAAGTGGAGTTCAACCCTGTTGGGTTTAGGCGGTAACCACCAAAGACAAATGAGAGAGGTCGCGCAAAATCCCTAGATCAATCATAGTTAGATATTAACACTGTTGGATGCCGGCCTAGTGGTCCAGAGGTTAGGCTTTCGCGTACAATACCGAAGGTCCCGTGTTCGATTCCTACGGTGTGCAGGAGTCTTGAATGCGCACTGCTGATGGGTCCTACTGTGGTATGAAATGGCCGTCCAGTGCTTCCAGGTTTCTGATGGTGGTCTAACAATGACTGATTGATGATTTCAAATGTGTAAAACACAACACTAATCTCCATAACTCTAATTGAAAATATCGTAAAAGTACATTTCCTTAACGATTTAAAAATTCATTGACAACATTACTGAAAACTGTAGATTATGATTCTATGATTTTGGATTTTTATATCACTATCAATATATACATATATATCAAACTTCATAGAATAAATTAAATTCAGAAAGATTTATCTGACAGATTCTGGTATGCGGTAGGAATGCACCTGAGAAATTTCGCGGATCAATTACATCTTCACATTGTTCTATCGAAAAATCTATGAAAAGAATGAATTGTTTTAAATGATATACAGTTAAAAATTTTAATTTTTATGATTTTGAATTAATTTCCTCTCTCTCTCTCTCTCAAAAAAAAAAAAAACATTTTCACTTACGAGAAATGATCATAAAATTCTGAGTTTTTTTATTTTAGTACATAAATCATGTGTACATTGGATGTAAATAATGTCAAACGTGATTGCAAAACATTAACAGTCATTTCTTATACTAACCATTTCAAAAAACGATTAATGCAAAGATTAAAAGTATTCTGTCTTGAATTTGACAAACTAGGAAATTGTGATAATATTATTCTGTATTTCAAATAAATTGAGCATTTTATTACGGGGTCGCTGTGAAGATTGTTAAGTTTTATTTGAAACCATGAATCGATCAATGTTAGACCATCATTAGAAACCTGGAAGCACTGGATGGCCGTTTCGTCCTGGTATGGGACTCATCAGTGGCAGTGCGCATCCACCGCTCCTGCACCTCGCAGGATTCGAACTCAGGACCTTCGGTATTGTATACGAACACCTATTCGGGTGTAGTCAGTACTTACCGAAGACTGTGTATCAGGTTGCGAATTGATCAAGTTAGACATTAACATCATCAGATACCAGCTCAATGGTCCGATTGTTAGGCGTTCGCGCGAAACACCGAAGGTCCTGGGTTCGAATCCTGCGAGGTGTAGGAGTCGTGGATGCGCACTGCCACTGAAGAGTCCCATACCAGGACGAAACGGCCATCCAGTGCTCGCAGGTTTCTAATGGCGATCTAACATTGATCGATTCATGGTTTCAAAAAAAATGTGTAACTTAACAATTTTCACAACCCCGTAATGCACATCCAATTTAAGACAAGTCCCAAGTAAAATAAAAAACACCTGTCCTAAAATTCCAATGATAGCCAGTATATTCCCCACTGTTGCTAATGCTTAATACACCGATAGGTTTTAATACTGAATTTAAAGAGCGCAATTAGGTTTTTTAGAGAGATTTATTAAATGCCAACTCATCTTTACCCTAATTTGAATTAAATGTCCCCAAAAATAGAAGAATACATTGACATTAAAAAAACTAGACTCGTTTACAAATGACTTCAGCATAACCAATTAGTTAATTTAATTTTCCATTAACTGTATTAAAGTGTATTAAAGTCTGTAAAAAAAATGTGTTTCATCATCAACATACAAGAGGATGTTTTTTTTCTTTAAACTTCCTTAATAAACTATTCCACCGGATGTCAATGACAAAATTCATTAAATTTATTCCAAAACACAAAAAAAGGAAGCAACTAATTATACTTTTTGAATACACATTTAAGTCTTTTTTTTAATCATGATGCTCCTCAATCCTATGGAAATTTGCATTATTTTTTTTGATTTTCATGATAGATTTTCGTCTGTCTACAGTATACTACTTATTTTTTTCTTGTTTAATTGTTTTCTTCTAATTTTTAGTTAATTTCTGTTGGTTTATACCGGTGAAAAGTCAATTTGTAAGTTTCCTTTTCATCTTTTTTTTTAATTATTTTAAAAAAAAAACGGGGGAAGAAAACAGTCATTAGTAATTTTATTTTTTTGCATAATAATATATCCTACTTATGAGTAGTTGAAGATTTTCTTTCGACAAAAAAGAGTTAAATGAACATTGTTGTTTTGTTTTTTTTAATCTCATGTGATCTACTTGAAAATTCCGTCAAGTGGTTTTTTTTTTAGAAGAAAGGATTAACATAAAAAGAATAATATGTATATTTTTTATCTGAAATATTCATTTCTTCGATGTGTATGTATTAAATATGCAGGTAAACGTTTCAAGTAATTCATGGTTTCGAAAAATTATTTCATTCCAGTCGCGAAATTTAATGTCAGTCAGTCACTTATAAACAGTCAAAATAAACATTTATAATTGTTTGTTTACTTATACTAAATAAATTCTTCTTTATTGTTATTTAAATTTAAAAGAAAAAGGTTGTTGAATTATCATAGAATAACAGTTTAAGCTATTTTCTGATATTATGTCTATTGATCACACTTCCTCGGTTACATCTAACAACTGATCAATGTTTTTTCTAATACAAAGAAATTCTATGATGATGATGATTGTGTTGAGCAAAATATTTATGAAAGTTATAGTTGTATTTATAATCTCTTGGTTGGGAAATGTTATAGAGTGAAACATGGCATGGTTAACTTGTGGGGTCCATTTATCTGCGTGTTCGCATAGCTCGGTAATTAGCTCGTCTAGACAATCGTCACTAAGTAGCATCTGAAGGTTTATAAATCAGAAGGCGAATTTGAAGTGTTGAATACGTTTATATTTTGGACACACCACATAGCGAAGTTGAAAAGCAGTGAAAGAATGAGCGAAGGAATCGAACGAATAGGCGAAGAGCATTGGAGAAGGCTAGTGAGCCAACTCAAAGAAATAGAGCATGACTAAGAATATAAAGTCAGACAAATATAAGACAGACATGTAACAAGCGAAATAGGCACACATGAACAATGCGACGAATGATTGACAAGGTCAAATGACACGTCATGTGAGCTCATACAAACCAGACAATAATAAGAAGGAATGGTACATATAAATTGTGGCTACGCGAATGGCTTGGTTAAATAGATTAATCGAAAGGCCTTAACCAAGTTAGATGTAAGCGAACTGGAATATATGTGGAGGCACTACAAACTATTAAACACGTGTTCCTTTATGAGTATTAAGGAGCCTTAAAACTTTCAATCTCTTTCGGGATATATATGGACCATTTTAAATTCAAGACGGTCACGATTTCAAATCGGTGAATCAAAATTTGATGGTTTACATAACATTAATTTCAGAAGAGTAGTTCAGCGTAGAATAAATATTACTTAACTTATGCAGTCACAACATCTAGTGTTTCATCATACCGAACCTTGGAAAATTTATAATGACACTGACTTATTATTCACGTATACGGTATAGTGTAGATGCTTAATTATTTCAGGATATTCAGTTTCTTTGAAATCATGAATTGACGAGTGTTATTAGACCATATCTGTAAGCATTGGATGGCTGTCTCGTCCTAGTTTGGGACTTATCAATAGTGCGTATCTATGACATCGCTCGCGCGAGTTATACTCAGGATCTGTAGTCCCACGTAAATGCCCAAGCTGTTTACCACTGACCCGGCATCCGACGGTGTTACTGTATAACTGAAATCAATCCTTGATATTGTACAACACCACTCATTCTCTTCAGTGGTTACTGCCTACACACGACACACAATAATACTTTTGGGTTCCGGCACACACTAGTCAACAGCTTAGGCATTCACACGGTGGGACTGAATATCCTAGGTTCGATTACCACGAACAGGGTATGCGATGTACACTGCTGATGAATCCCATACTAGGACGCTTTCCTACTTACTGGTTGTCGGACAATGACCGATTTATAATTTCAATGAAACTCAATCATAAAAAATCATATTCACTTTTTTTTATTCTATCATGAATACTAGCTATCATTTGAAAAATATATTTTCATCCTTTCCTCTCAAAAACAAATCTTTTCTTTTGTTCACATTCAATAGTGAATATGTAATTTATAATTTTTTCGGTAAAAAATAGTAGAACCAGTATGATACTTTTACCACGGATTAAACAATTAAACCGGATTTCATCTATCGATCGAATGATGTGAAAAAATTGGGAAAAACTTACAACTTCACTTCATTTTGAACATTGAAAGATGCGCTAATCATAGATATTTTTTTTCCGAACATCATTTACACTTGAAAAAATTGAATATATATATAAATATATGCGTAGTCTAGTGTTGCTTATCATTCAAACACAGAACAAAAGATTCATTTAAAATAATAACAACATAATTATTAATTCAAATCACACTCAAGTAAGCACAAGTTACATTTAAATTTTCAATTGTTTTATTTGGTCAGTGTTTAGTCCATAGTATGTGTCACTAACTTGATTGTGGCATGTTAGATAATGATTGAAAGAAAAAATATATATATATATATATTCACGGTCTTGCGCAACTTCATACACTGTCTTCGGTGAGCATACTTCTTCACAGCCGAACAGGGTTTAGACTCCACTGGTGACGACTTCTCACTAGGACTCACAGAAGATTCCTCAACAGAGCTTACCACTAGTGAGCCAGGTAACTGGCATTATGGGATTGATTGAAGTTAAACATTAACACCGTTAGATGCCGACTCAGTGAACCAGAGGTCAGGTGTTCGCGCGCAGGATTGAAGGTCCCGGGTTCGAGTCCTGAGAGGTGCAAGAGTCGTGAATGCGCTGTGTCACTGGTGAGTCCCATACCAGGATGAAATGGCCGTCCAGTGCTTCCATGTTTCTAATACTGGTCTAACATTGATCGATTCATGATTTCAAACAGTATCTCAACATTCTCAACACACTCTCTATGTTCACTTATTCGAGTGTTCACTGCCATTTATTCCTTTCGATGAATACCACATAGAAAAGCTTATAGTAGAGATTCTATTTAGCGTTTTTAAAAATAGTCATTCTTAAGATGCATTAGTTTTTTTCGTCAATATTAACTTTCAATGAAAATCACATTTCACCAAAATATACATTTTCTTTAATCCCTTCCACTCAAGGTGACTAATGTTTTTGTGAGGATCTCTTTCTCTCTCTCTCTCCTAGTTTTACTAGTGTGTATCAGACATTATGATATTTTCTTGTTAAAGTAATATTGAATAATGATTACATCTATTGATTAATCCATTATCAGATTGTACTTGTGTACACTTGTTAATTCAACAAAGCTGAACAATTTTCAAGCTATAAAAGTAACATATACAGAAGCAGATTAAACAGATATATATATGTTTATATACATATAATCAACTGATATTGAAATGTTTCATTTGTCATTTTTAGTTGAATTTTGTCCATATTACTAAATTCCCGGTATACTAATCTTTATTAGTGCAAAAGATTATCATTATTGAAGATTAATGCAAAGTTATGCATATCATATCAATGAATCAAAGTTCCGATAGTTAGTATTTTGAGTAATTTGGCGATTAGATATGATAAATAATATTTTTGAAAATATTTCACTAGTATTGATTACAAAACGAATATTTATAAATGCTTGTATATTTTTCCTACGGTTGATGTTATCAACTATAAGTGATTCATTGAAATACACTTCTTAATATCGATTGCATAATGATATTTCAACTGCAAATTGAAACTTGTGACTAAATAACGGTGATAATATAGAGATTATTCAAACAGGATACTTACTATAAGCGTCTTGTTTATTAACTGAAAGATAATTACTTACTTACTTACTGAATTACTTACGCCTGTTACATCCACTGGAGCATAGGCCGCTCACCAGGTTCCTCCAACCAACTCTGTTCTGGGTTTCCCTCTCCAGTTCTGTTCAATTTTTGTTCATTCTTCTCATATCTTTCTCTATTTCTCAGCGTAATGTGTTCCTTCGCCTTTCTCTTTTCCTTTAACCTTAAGGGTTCCATGTGAGAGCTTGTCTTGTGACTCAGTTCGGTGCTTTCTTCAGTGTGTGTCCTATCCACTTCCACCGCTTCTTCCTGATTTCCTCCTCCACTGGAATCTGGTTTGTTCTATCCCAAAGTAAGTTGTCGCTGATAGTGTCTGGCAAGTTGGTTTTTTTGGTGGGATGGGGTCGCCAACGCCATGCCCAAATCTCCTGTTTATCCGGGCTTAGGAGATAATACCATGTACAAATAAGATTTAAAAGCATAGCACTAGTGAATGGAGTAGAGTAGAGTGGACACAACGCAAAGAGAGTTTTAAAAAACCAAAAAAAAGTGGACACTACGTTCAAGTTTCAATGTGAATATCGAAATTGACATGTGGATACATTCAATGATCATAAGTCCAGACATAGAACGAAATGAAAACATCCTCGATTCTATTACTAGCTACTAACTACTTGAATCTCAGCAAGTGTGAGAACTACAGAGGCATCAGTCTTCTTTCGATACCAGGCAAAGTCTTCAACAGAGTATTGTTAAACAGAATGAAGGACTTCGTAGACGCCCAAATTCGAGATCAACAAGCTTGATTTCATAAGGATCGACCGTGTATTGACCAAATTGCTACATTACGGATCATTGTGGAACAATCAATTGAATGGAACTCACCACTCTACATCAACTTCATCGACGACGAGAAAGCATTCGATAGCGTGGATAGGAAAACACTGTGGAGTCTTCTTCGACACAACGGTGTGCCTGAGAAATTAGTTAACATCATACGGAATTCTTATGATGGACTCAACTGCAAAATCGTGCACGCAGGATAGTTGACAGACTCGTTTGAGATGAAGACCGGTGTCAGGCAAGGTTGCTTACTCTCACCCTTTCTCTTTTTCTCCTGATGAACGACCGGATTATGAAGATGTCAACATCTGGAGGGACGTACGGTATACAGTGGTCAACCAGGATGCAGCTGAAGGATCTGGATTTCACAGACTATCTGGCTCTCCTATCGCACACGTAAAAACGAATTCAAGAGACGACGACCAATGTAGCAGCAGCCTCTGCAGCAGTAGGTCTCAACATACATAAAGGAAAAAGCAAAATTCTCCAATGCAACACAACATGCACCAACCAAATCACTCTTGATGGAGATGCCTTGGAGGACGTTAACATCTTTACATATCTGGGCAGAATCACCGACAACCAAGGTGCGGATCGGCAATGTAAAGGCTGCATTTCTGTAGTCGAAACATATCTGGAACTCCAAACAACTTTCAATCAACACCGACATCAGGATCTTCAATACAAGTGACAAGACATTTCTACTGTATGGAGCGGAAACTTGGAGAACTACGAAAGCCATCATCCAGAAGATACAAGTGTTCATTAACAGCTGTCTACGCAAAATACTTCGGATTCGTTGGCCAGACACCATCAGCAACAACGTACTGTGGGAGAGAACAAGTCAGATTCCAGTGGAGTTGGAAATCAGGAAGAAGCGGTGGAAGTGGATAAGACACACACTACGGAAGAGCCGACATCGAAGGAAAAAAGGCGACGTCGCTATGAACGCTTGGCCGCCACAAGCCAGTTATCCCTGTGGTAACTTTTCTGACACCTCTTGCTTCAAACTCCGAAAATAACATCAAAAGGATCGATAGGCCACGCTTTCACGGTCTGTATTCGTACTGAAAATCAAAATCAAGTAAGCTTTTGCCCTTTTACTCTACGCCAGGTTTCTGTCCTGACTGAGCTCTTTGTGTTCTCTCAAATCCTAATCTTCTGGATTCTTCAACACCTCTAGTTTTTACTTTCTAAACTTATCTCATTTAATCATACTTCATGAATAATATCTTCTAATCCTAACCTCTCCGATTACTTCTAATACCTTTACTACCTCTTCTACTATTGGATTTGAATTGACAATTATATCTCTGTGTTGATGTGGTATGGCGACATGAACTGATGTACTTATGTACGAAGTTCTACGTTGCATCTGACTGACTGACTGACACACTACGGAAAGCACCCAACCGCATCACAAGACAAGCCCTCACATGGAACCCTCAAGGTAAAAGTAAAAGAGGAAGGCCAAGGAACACATTACGCTGAGAAATAGAGAAAGATATGAGAGGAATGAACAAAAATTGAACAAAATTGGAAAGGGATGCCCAGGACAGAGTTGGTTGGAGAAAACTGGTGGGTGGCCTATGCTTCATTTGGGGTAACAGGCGTAAGTAAGTAAGTAACTACTTGAAGTTTATTAATTAAAAAAATTACTTATATTTCTCATTGATGATGAACAATTTCACTGGTAAATTATTTATTTGATTTTTTTTTCTTTTAACAAAATAAAGTCACCTACTTTTCAAATGTCAGATTCAGAGGATGAATACCCTGAGACGACTGGACGATATTCTCCCTCAATGCACAGAGGTCATCCAACCTATTTCAATTATAAAGATAGATTTCGTTGGAGTAAACGGGTGCCACCTTACATAACTGGTGGAATTCGGTATCGATAAATGATAGAACAAGATTTCAATAAAATTCACATGTGTGTGTCTGTCTGTGTGTGTGTGTGATGTGTTCATGTTGCAAAATAACTATTGTTCATTGGTTTACATTTTTCTTTTCAAAGTAAAGCATGTATTGTATCATATTTGAATGTAAAACAAAATTGATCAATGTGGATTTTAAACAATTTTATGAAATAAAAAAGGCATAAATACATACCCAAATATGTTTTATCATTGAAAAAAATTGTTTGTTACTTATATTGATTGGTAGAGTTTATTTTAAAAGGAAAAAAACATGACTATAACTTACGTAACATGAACGGAGAAAACTTGCTTACTTACGCGTGTTACCCACTCAATGGAGCATAGGCTGCCAACCAGCCTTCTCCTACCTACTCTGTCCTGAGCCTGCCTTCTCATGTCTGTCTCCGTTACGCAGCGTAATGTGTTCCTTGGCCTTCCTTCTTTCTTTTGACCTTGAAAGGGTTCCAAGTGAAGGCTTGTCTTGTGACGTAGTTGGATGCTTTCCGCGATGTGCATCCTATCCAATTCCAGCGCTTCTTCATCCACTGGAATCTGGTCTGTTCTTCCCCAAAGCAGGTTGCTGCTGATAGTGTCTGGCCAACGGATACGAAGTATTAACCGTCCCCAACTATTAATGAGTACTTCAATCTTCTGGATTATAGATTTCGTAGTTCTCCGAATTTCCGCATCCCGTGCTCCCCTTTCAGGAACGGAGAATAATAGTCTTATTGGTAGATAACTGGAATTCTATTTACTAGTGTTTTCTAAAATATTATTCACCGAAATATAATAGTATTCTAATATCTTTAACATTAAAATTTTTACTACCGATTTTATTTTATGCGCTTTAACAAGGTTAACTCAATATCTCAAGATATTGTAGATTCCCACAGAAATTTACACTTGGCAAACCTAATGTAGCCGGCTAAACTATTTTAGATGGGAATCGTCTGAAAGAATGAATCAGATGTAATGATAAGTTCATCGATAATACCACGTTTCTTATTGTTTAATCTTTTAGGAAGTTCTTATTTTTCCTAAAAACAGAAATACTTTTTACGGATCAATGCTGAAATGTGCAAAACTGATATATTCGAATTTTTGTTTCTGTCAGTAAATATCTGTGTTTCATAATCATATCACAAAAAAAATGATCGATAAAACTCAATCAGCAATTAGGGTTCAACCAACAATAAAACACTAGTTATTTTTATAAGTTAGAAATTCCTAGTATTCATACCACCAGGTAATTGAGTCAATCGATGATGGAGTTCATGAATAACACCTGCACTTGATGCTTAACAAAACCTCAGATATTCGTTTTAATCAATGTCAGGCTTTGACGATAGTGAATACGTTTGGTCAACAATCAAGAATATCGTTACTCTTATTGATTTATAATGTGAATTCTTTATAACCTTGTAGGTAGTCAGAATTTCAAGAACAATAAGCGGATGTACTTATTCTTGTCTATCCTCAATGCCTAAAAATTCATAGGCTTATAAATGTTACTTATTCGATTACAACATGCGTGTACTGCGCAGTAGTGCACTCCGTCTTACTTTATGGTTGTGAAACATGGCCAGCCAGAGTAAATGATATTCGTATGTTACTTGTTTTCGATCACAAGGTTTCTCCGAAGCATTGCTCGTCTATCCTGCGAGAGCCAAGTAGACGATGCTGTTGTCAGGAAGCGGGTGCTAGGTAAGGATGGCAGGTCGATAGATGAAGTAGTAAAACAGCATCAGTTGATGTGGTTGGGACATGTGTTACGAATGCCTAACCACCGACTGCCTCGACGAGCTATGTTTTGTGGTATAGGAGTAGGCTGGAAGAAAGCTAGGGGCGGCCAGACAAAAACATGGTACAAATCTATGAAGTCACTGACATGTGGACTGAGTCATGTTGATAGATGTAGGCTAGGTGGTTGGGGTCCGCGAGACGAAAGTCACCGATGGTTAGAGACCTTGAACGTCATGGCTCAAAACCGTTTGCAATGGCACAGGTGCACTCAGTCTTAGTATTCTCGTAAATTTTAACCTTCTGAATTCCTCATCACCTTTATCTTTTTCTGTTTAAGTTTATTTCACTAGATTCTACTTCTCGAATATTATCCTCGAACTCTAATCTCTCCGATTACTGCTAACAGTTCTACTACGATGGGATTCAAAGTGACATTTGCATCTCCATGCAAATGAGTGGTATGGCAACCTGAACTGATGTACGTACGTACGAAGTTCTTCGTTGCTGCTGACTGACTGACTGACTGACATGTTACAGTTAATAAACCACAGTTTGTGAGCAATCAAATCATGAGTGATGGAAGTGAATTAGTAAGAATCAGTAAGAATTCAAGAAGGAATAGAAATTCATAACATCAGTTTATGTATTAAATGGGATCTCACAATACTGGTGATAAATAAATAAATGTGTCAGCGCATAAAAGCGAACGTGTTAGGTCCCAATCTCAGTATAACTTCAAATAATGAGTCCTGATAATGACTCCACTGTTTGCTACAATCTAAACTATACTAAAGATCTGTAACCAGAAGCTATCATCGACACCAACAGAGACAAACAAGTATGTAAAAATCACACTGTCAGTATCGATGACAAAGTTTTGAGTAATTATTTAAAGAAAAAAGAGAAACCATACCAAGAATAAACTGAACCAAGTTTATATATATATATATATATATATATATATATATATATATATATATATATATATATATATATATATATATATATATATATATATTAGTCGTAAGTATCATATGCAGACACATATTTGTTCGGGATATTAGATTCCCAAAACTCCCTTGATAAACGTTTTTATTTTGGATTTCATTCATGGGCTTATCGGTTGATCTTGAGATCAAGACTTTTCGTTAGTTCCTACCTGGACATTGGTTCATTGTCTCGTCCTCGTTTATCGACTAAGGTAAACCCATTATAGTTTCAAACGTATAAAGTGACGAGCCTAACAATATTAGTTCAACTGTATGCTATATTTTAATTTAATGAGTTAAGTATTGAGGTTTCATATTGCCCCACAATAAGTTCTATTCAAAGGCGATTGAAAATTCTTTTAATTACTGAAAGCTGTATGGATCAGAAGATTGTCACACAGCGACACTTAGACATAATTGGCCATGTACTAATAGACACAGAGGAGACAGGAATTTCCGGATAATCTTGATTCTCGTTCAAAATTAAAAACACAAAACTGAACAACTTAACTTTTTCTTAGTTTTAACCATAGACTGATTTCAGTTAATCTACTGCCAGAAACTTGAAAGCATTGTGTGGCCTAGTAGTAGTGCACACCAGTGGTGTTCATCATTGTCGGTTGTAAGGTAGTTAGTTACCCACTAAGAACAAGGGGAGATAGTTGCGCACTGTCGTGGATTGACTGAAGTTAGAAAGAAACTCTGTTAAGTGAGGGATTAACCATTCGTGAGCGAAACCGAAGGTCCCAAGTTCGGTTTCTGGATACAGGTTGGCAGAGCTGCATTGAGGAGTGATTCTATGTTAAGAAGAAACGGCTGTCCATTAGTTACAGGCTTAGCATGATGATCAGTTCATGATTTCACGGAGAAACTATTATTCAATTCAGTGACGGACACTCAGTGTACTCTAGTTTTTTCCAAATCAATTACGTTCCAATTACACTCTCAAATTATTATCTAGGTTTTACAACAAGCTGTAAAATTATTACAAAGTAATGTTAAGTCCATTTAATAAAAGTCTACATCCACATTTCCTCTAAAAATAATCATCAGTTAATGTCTCAACATATGGAAAATTAGTTGACGTAATAAGTTAATTATTACAGTTAGTTATATAAAAGCGTGCTTTGAGTACATTTAGGATTAATCTATTGAATGTTTGATGTTAGTTACAACATTAGTGCTAAGTAATTAGTAGAATAGATGAAAAGAAGATTAGATAATTAGATTATTAAAACAAATTAAAGTGAAATCGAATAATGAATGGAACAGGGTTGAAAAAAATTATAACAATCTCTGGGAAACAAACATAACATCCAGGTAGATTAAAAGGTTTTTCCATTCATAAAAATAAAGATCATTAATGTGTTGTTATGTAATATACTCTATATAAGAGATAATTTCTGAAATTATAGAACCATTTCAATATCTAGATTTCTGTTAATTTACCATGATAGGAATTCTCATTATTTACGTCGATCATACAGAGATGATGTTCAGAAAAGACAATTTGAATGAGAGAAAAGGTGTCCATATAAAAAAATCTTCCTAGCATCATTCTTACTAAGACTTCTTTAACTGCCTTTAGCAACCTTAGCAGTTATGTTGAACAAATTAGTTGAAATAATAGATGCGAATCAGCTAGAACAGTTATTCGTCAGACTTAATTACTTCCTGACGCTTCTTACCACTCAATGAAGCATAGGCCACCGATCATCATTCTTCAACCTACTCTGTCCTCGGGCTTCCTTTCCAGTTCCGTCCAATCTTTGTTCATTTTTTCTCAAGTCTGTCTCTATTTCTCAGTGTAATGTGTTACTTGGCCTTACACTTTTCTTTTGTCATTGAGGTTCCAAGTGCAGGGCTTACATGCCACGCAGTTGGATAATTTATGTATTGCGTGTTTTATCCACCTCCAGAGTGTAAATTTCCTTATTTCGTCCTCATCTGGAATTCGGTTTGTTCTCTCCCACAGTAGGTTGATGCTGATACTGTCTGGCCAACGGATCCGAAGTATTTTGCGTAGACAGCTGTTAATAAATACTTGTATCTTCCACAGGAAGGCGTACTGAAATTTCTGATTGGTGTTGGTTGAGAGTTGGTTGGTTAATTGTGAGTTGTTGATGTTATTCACTCATAGAAATTCTGCCTTTGCTTTGTCGATCCTCGCCTTCACATCTGCATCGGATCCACTTTGCTCATCAATGATTCTGCTCAGATATGTAAAGCTTTTTAAGTCCCCCAAGGTATTTTCATCAAGAGTGATTTGGTTGGCACATGTTGTGTTGCATCGGAGAATCTCGCTTTTCCTTTCATGTATGTTGAGACCTGCTGCTGCTGAAGTTGCTGCTATACTAGTCGTCTTATGTTGCATTCGTTGTTGCGTGTGCGATAGAAGAATCAGATCACCTGTGAAGTCCAGATCGTCCAGCTGCATCCTGGTTGTCCACCGTATACACTATTTCCGTTCAAATGTTGACGTC